TCGGATGAGGAGCTGCATACGGCGCTGGTACACGCGGAGGGTCTCATCAACAGTCGACCATTAACCGTCATCTCCTCTGATTCGAATGATCTTCGGCCCCTGACGCCACAGCACTTCCTCGTGGGCCACGCAGACGCCACACTGGCCGCTGAGCTGGGTGTCCAGCCAGCAGACACGGTCCATCCTCGTCGCCGCTGGATGTACGTGCAACGCATTGTCGCGGAGGTCTGGGCACGATGGGTGAAGGAGATCGTACCGAAGCTCAATGTGCAAGTGAAGTGGTTTCAGCAGCAGCGGAACGTCGAAGTTGGTGACATCGTCATGGTCATGGACGACAATGTCCCACGAGCACATTGGCCACTCGCTAGAATTACGGCAACCTACCCTGGTAAGGATGACGTTGTCCGTGTGGTGGGGGTCAACATCCAGGGCAAGGTCTTAAAACGGCCAGTCCATCGACTAGTTCCACTTGAAGTCGAAGGTGCCACTGGTGAATGAGTAAGACGGAGTGTCACAGATAGAATCACTCATGACAATAGCAGCCAATGTAACAGTAGTGGTGTCGCATAACTTACAATGCTTCTCCATCATCTTTCCTATTTTCTTTTGGTTTGCTATACTGTTGTTTGGGTCTCACTCATATTGCATGATAGCATATTCGTTCGAGAGGGAGGAATGTTAGATTTGTATGCGCATCAGTGCACTCGCTATACATGATTGTCTGATGTATTGTTGTAGTTCTTTGTGCATGTTCTTTGTCTACTATGATTGATTGCATGGTCAGCTACCCCGGCGTGGGAACGCAGTCATCCGTGATGTTTCATGATTGTACTATGCATGAAGTACTAGTACGCATGCGTGTTACGCTTCTCGTTGTTCTTCCTTCATTGTGTTTTGCCCCTTTTAGTTGTGTGTTGGAGTCTCCTGTGAGAGATTAGTTTTGATCAGTGCACTTGTTATTGGTTCAGCTTGGCATGTTTTGGTCCTTTTCCATGATAATACATAATAAACGAATTAGCAGTTGCCTTAGTGTTTTGAAGGTAACAAGCCAATTGAATCACCTTTCCAAGATTCCTTTTAAAATTCTCTGCCCTCCGTCGAGGAGACCCAAGTTTTCAGAAGTGAACAAGTGCAAGAAGTGTATACATGTGTGTGCATGCAGTGGCGTAGGAAGCTGGTTTAGTTTGGGAGGGGGGGGGGGGACTTCCAGCCACTGACCTGGTCATATACTGGTGTGGTCGTACCGGTAATCCTTCTACAGAAAGTTGTAATTGTTCAAGTATTTCACTCTTCATCACTGGACATGGGAAAACCTAGTGCAGTCTGTATCGGCTATAGCGTACCCTTTTGATTTCCGTGATTTTATCACTATAACCGATGCATCACTATATGCGTGCGATCGATTTTTTTGATCGACACCTGAAAAGCAAGGAAATACTTCCAGCATGGCGTTTTGACAAATGAGCATGCTGCATAGTTGACGTCAGTGCCCGCATTTCCGTAAAAAAATTCTGGTATGTGCATGTACATGTATCACTATGAAAATAAGCAACGTGAAGAAAGTAAAAAAATAGGGCCTTTGATATTATTGCTACATGTATTTTAAAGTTATCACTATAGCCGATAATAATACAGTGTGTTATGCATGTTTTGATTCTTTTGTTGCCATCATAATATCCGATATATCATTACATCCGATAATATTGGTTATAGTGATATTTTTACTGGATAAAATACGTTCAAACGACCCACGTGCCCTTTGCTAGGTTACGACCAATCAGCAGCCTCGGAGAGCGGGCTTTGATATTCCATCAAAGCCCGCTGTCATTGACAACCTGTATGAGAAAACCATCAAAGCCCGCTGCCATTGGCAGCTGTACGACAAAACCATCAAAGCCCTGATCATGCCCAATCTCAGTCTTTTCAAGGTGATCTGGCTATAAGAACAAGAAACCGATAGGGGTGGTGGTCGGGGATGCGGTGGCTCTCAACTTGTGGAGTTGGAAATCTAGCTCCAGCACCGCAGAGCTCTCAGCAGTATGCAGCTTGAGCAAGGCGTGTATGGTCGAAGTGAAAATACTTCCGTGACTCTTCAGCCACGTCTGGCTCTTGACACGTAGTCCTGAGAAATTTCTCACAAAACAGGTTTTTCGTCCACTCACATTACTTTCCCTTTGCTGTAATCTCTGTGTAAAACTTACGAACGGGACGAAAACGACGTGCACTTTAGACTTCAGGCTGCTCTGAAACCCCAAACGAAAGGCCGACATTGTCCATACTCGAGATCACCCAAAGAATGAAGTGAGTTTGATTCAAAATCAAAAAAATGTTGCGGATCGTCTGAAGCATATTCAAGCGAGGTACAGTTGGGCTTGATAACTGATCAAAGCCCTCGGGCCCAGCCCTTGGGCCTACGGCCCTCGGGCTGGATCCTTGGGCTTTGATCAGCCATCAAGCCCTCTGTACCTCGCTTGATTATCTACTTTTGCTTTTGATATTTCGTACCAATATCATTGTAGCCGATATATTCTTATATCCGGTCACTCTACTAGTACTCGAATCTGGACAAGAACAATGAAAGTCCTGTGCATGTATGTTGAATACAAGAGATTGCATGCAGCGACCACTGGATAAGTAGCTCTGACTGACAGCCTGGTCAATGTCCAAGGAGAAATTTATCTGAAGGCGAAATGTATCCGTAATGGTGAATTAGAGGCAACCTTAGAGCAAAACTTACTGGTAAGGACAGTGAGATAAGTTTACGTTAAAGAACCCCCCCGATTTTCAGCTATTACAAACAAAAACCCCGGACTCATCACATGCCAGTGATAAAATCCTGCGACTAGGAGTAGCATGCTCCGTTCATAACGAACTTTCCACGATAGTGAAGGTGCAAGCCTCAGGCTCAGTTTCTCTATGAACATGTTGAAATGTATTACCACTGTTCAGTCGTACCTTGCTCTCCGACAAGTAACAGTAAGTCTTGAAGTAAGTCTCAAAAACCTCTCCTGGAGAGTGGTTTTATCCAGAAAGCTGCGATATAGCAATGAGAAGAACTGACTCTGACTGAAGCAAAGTACTGCCGCCTTTCCCATTTCGAAGAAAACCGCCCACGGAAAACAACGCTTTTAAATTAGCAGCTACGATTCAAAGACGACCAAGCCAGGATCTATCGATCATGCTTCACGCCGGTGGCACTCGCTTCTACTTGAAGTATTCTAGATGTCATCCAGTGTAGACTTTCTAAGCCTAGCGCCTGTCAAGTACACTGTACAGTGCTGGGCAAAGAGAAATCCAACCTCATGAATAAATTAGCGTTGCTGGGCACTACACTGCCCTAGCACTACACATACTGGTCTGTGCGCTACACTGCCCTAACACTACACATACTTGTCTGTACACTACACTGCCCTAACACTACACATACTGGTCTATGCACTACACTGCCCTAGCACTACACATGCTGGTCTGTGCACTACACTGCCCTCACACTACACATACTGGTCTGTGCACTACACTGCCCTAATACTACACATACTGGTCTGTGCACTACACTGCCCTAACACTACACATACTGGTCTGTGCACCACACTGCCCTAACACTACACATACTGGTCTGGGCACTACACTGCCCTAACACTACACATACTGGTCTGTGCACTACACTGCACTAACACTACACATACTGGTCTGTGCACTACACTACCCTAACACTACACATACTGGTCTGTGCACTACACTGCCCTAACACTACACATACTGGTCTGTGCACTACACTGCCCTAACACTACACATACTGGTCTGTGCACTACACTGCCCTAACACTACACATACTGGTCTGTGCACTACACTGCCCTAACACTACACATACTGGTCTGTGCACTACACTGCCCTAACACTACACATACTGGTCTGTGCACTACACTGCCCTAACACTACACATACTGGTCTGTGCACTACACTGCCCTAACACTACACATACTGGTCTGTGCACTACACTGCCCTAACACTACACATACTGGTCTGTGCACTACACTGCCCTAACACTACACATCCTGGTCTGTGCACTACACTGCCCTAACACTACACATACTGGTCTGTGCACTCGAACGCGGCGATACTCTATTCATGAGGTTGGATTTCTCTGCGGGTCAGCACTGTACACCCGGCGCCCCCCCCCCCTTGCCCCCCCCCCCCCACTTCCTACGCCACTGGCATGTGTGTGTGTGTGTGTGTATGTGTGTGTGTGCATGCGAGTGTGTCTCATATGGTGCAGTTCTAAGTGCAGTCAATTTCCAATCGAGAGGTGGCGGGTTCGATTCCTGAAGATTATGGTCACACACGTCTTTCTTCTTTTTCTCAGACTCCTCTTGACTTTTCTTTCATTCTGCTGCGTGGTAACAACCAGTGCATGCCGGAGTATGCGGTGTGATGTTTGTGTGGGATAGAAATGAGAAAAAAAGATCAAAAGGTAGGGGATTCACCAGCCCGAAAAAGCCACTTTAAATATTTGTGTGGTTTAGACCAGGCTGAATAGCGGAGTTAAAATCTTCAGCCTTGCAAGCTATTGAATGGTGCAGTCCCAGTACAAGTTGCTATGGCTTCTGCTGTATTCATCGCTTTCATGACCTCCAGCGTCAAAAGGCCAAAAGGTCAAAAAGGCAAGTGTTTGTGTATCTGTGTGTATATGTGTGTGTATATATGTGTGTGTGTGTGTGTGTGTGTGTGTTTGTGTCTGTGTGTACGTGTGTGTCTGTGTGTGTGTGTCTCTGTGTGTGTGTGTGTGTGTGTGTGTGCACGAGTGAGAGAGCATGCGTGTGTCTGAGTTTGTATGAATATGGGTATGGGGTGTGTGTGTCTGTATGTGTGTGTCTGTGTGTGTCTGTGTGTGTCTGTGTGCACACGTGGGGGAGCATGCGTGTGTCTGGGTATGTCTGGGTATGTGTATGGTGTGTGTGTGTGGGTGTGTGATTGTGCCTATTTGCATGATCTACATGTAGGTGTTTGAGAAAGGAGGAAGGCAGTTGAACAAGTTTGGTACTAAAGGAAGTGGACCAGGACAGTTCAACCAACTATGGGGTATTATCTCGTCCAACGGCAGATTGCTGGTTGTGGATTCCAGCAACCACCGTATCCAGGTTAGGCTATTGTTCTAAGAGGATGTCCATGGCATAATATGTGTGTGTGTATATGTGTGTGTGTGTGTATGTGTGTTTATGAGGGTGAGTTTATGTGCCTTTTTGTGTGTGTATATATTCTTGGTTGGAGAAAAGAAATTCAGCACACGAATCACAGAAGCCATACAGTTTCGAGTCTTTCGACTAGGCCTTTCGTAACATTACTTTTCAAGTCGAATACAATGGTGATAAGCAAGCTAGCAAGCATGTCCTTATAGCCAGCACTTTGCCGGTCAGAACATTAACAAAATAGCATTTTAAAAGATAGCGATTGTGATGCCAACTACATGTTTACCGGTCAGAGCATTGACCAAATAGCACTTTAAGAGATAGCGTTAGTAGCACCAAACCACCTAGTGAAAATAATTAATTTTACTAGTATCCAGGCCCTGGCCTGGAGATCTGCAACTATAATCAGCTTCTACTTTGCAACACTAACGGATTAGTCCCCTTTGTCGATTGATGGATCAATCGGTAGATTCGGCTCTGTTTTTCTTTCCTTTCTTTCTTGTTTTGAATTGTACGTTGAACTCATTGGATTTCTTTGTATTCTGTATCTCGTTATCGTTATATTTCCCTCTAGCCCTCTCGCTTAGGATGAGCTTTCTTTTTTATGGCAGCTTAAGCGAAGGCTATATACCTGCTTTATGCAGGTTGATGCCAACGCGAACAAGCAAAATAATAATAATAAATAATAATAGTATCAAACAACACTAGGGACCACAGTACTACAATGGCAAAACAGTGACAACTTTTGCACATACTTCTTTTGCACATCCAGTTCTAATATACACATGGCACTCATTGCAAACAGGGCACTCCTTGTCACTTTACCACTCAAGCACGTGTGTGCTCAACAAATCTCACCTTGCTGTTCTGGAGGCAGTGTACATCGCAAAGCTGAAGCCTGAACTGTGTGTGCAATAGAAGCATGTGCAAAAGTTGTCACTGTTTTGACATTGTAGTACTGTGGTCCCCATTGTTGTTTGATACCAGTGTTAGGTACCTCCTCCCGTACCTTTTCTAGCGAGCCTGCATGCACTTGCGTACTCACCTTTTGTCTCCTTTTGTTCCGTTGGCCTGGGTAGCTACTTGCGCGCCCGTATTTGCCATAGCTACCCAGGCCCTTTATCTTGCCGTTCAGACTTGCTCTCCTTTCTCACTGGTCAATAATTACCATGTAGTCGTTTCGTTCGTCTTGGTCTCTTGTCTCGTCGTCTATAATAAATGTCGTTCCCCCAACCTACCTGTTCCCATTGTAATGTCTGGATAATGTGTCGTCAGTCGTCCTTTTCCCGATTCAACATTGGCGCCCAACGTGGGGCTCGAACCCACGACCCTGAGATTAAGAGTCTCATGCTCTACCGACTGAGTATATTCATTGTTTCACTATCTAGTTGACATCACTAGCGCTGTCTTCTAAAGTGCTATTTGGTCAATACTCTGGCTGCCAAATATGAGGTGCAGTGGCGGGTTTAGGTGGATCGGGGGTGGGGGGGGGGGGCGCACGCCCTCCCCCCCACGCCCCTCCCCCTCCCCAAAAACAGTTCGACCTTGGTTTGAAATAAACACCAGACTGCTGCATGCACAGGCGGTAGACTCTACACGGTGGGAAGCAGCTTCCAAAAGCAGCTGCACTGAGCGTTGGTGTGTAGCGGTGCACTGCAGATGAAACGATCCACTCTGCACCATGTCTACACTTTTGGTCAGATTCCAGGACACGCTCGATGCGTCTTGAGAAAGGCGTGCAGTGATGTGCATAATGTAGCACTACCCAAGCGGGACTTGGGATCTTCAAGCGCCTCCTTCTGCAACATTGTACAACGGTGTTTTGAGGATGATCCCCCAATGATTCGAATCTTGATTTAGTTGACTTGAGAGCTTTTCTGCGAAGTCTTAGCCACATCCATGGACTAAAATATGCCAAGCTCTGGCCTGCAGAGCCTGGATGGATTTTCTTGCGACGGCGTAATTCCTGTTCCAACAGGAAACCGTGGGAGTGATCAAGTCGTTGCAAGTTCAACAGATGACTTGCACAAAGATTGTCTGGGTTCGAGATGGGGCTAGTGGACCTTCTGACTCTCACTTCCTGACCTTTTGACTTTAAGTTTGATACTTTCGCCTTTTGCCTGACGAACGCTGAGCTAGTTTTTTGGCTAGAGTTGTTTTGATTTGGCTTCTATCGTCATGCAGACGCGCTGCTGCGCTTCTCAATGCACCAGCAGACGAGATATGGAACTGAGGCTCCCATTCCATACATTCCTTTCCGAACCGGGAATGCAAAGAAATTGATTCATGCCATATCGAGATGAACTTAAATGAGGTGATTGATGTAAAAAAAAAAAGGAAATTATCGTATCCGTTCCCGAAGGGAACTCACGACGGCCGCTAACACCCGATAAACTAAAATGAGGTGATTGATGTAGTGTACAAGTAACATGACAGATGATTGTACAATAATTATGTAGTAACTAAGCATGAGATACTGTAGTCTGTAGCCTAGTGTACGTCTGGAAGAAATACCTGTCATGTAATAATTTGTAATCGGTTGGATAGCTAGCAGTGTGACGTACATCGTTACAGTCATGTGCACCATGTCATCTCTACCCCCCCCCCTCCCCCTCCCCCCTCCCCACCCCCTCAGCCAAATCCTGGACACGCCACTGTAGTTGGCGCCACTAGCGTTATCTTTTAAAGTGCTATCTTGTCAATGCTCTGACCGCCAAAGTGCCAGTAATAAGGACATACCGTAATGTCGCGTATAAAAGCAGGTGCTTAGGGCCGTATAAGCTGGGGTTCAAACCATGCTTTTATCCAAGTTATGCTTCTCTTCAAAATATGCTTCTACGTCAACATCAAAGTCACAGTTCGTCAGTCCGGTCATCACGCGATAATATGCCAGATTTGAGAATACACGATAACGAAATACAAAATGCAAAAATATGGCAGGGCGATATTTGAGATGTAAAAGTCTATTCAGATTTGCAATTAGGACATCCAAATCAAGTCAAAATCAAGTCAAAATCAAGTCAAAATCAAGTCAAAATCAAGTTGACGGTATTAAAAAGCAATGAACATGGCGAGGTAAGGAGTTCACAACAATTTTGCTCGTGCAAAGACTGAAATCTGCCAGCAACAAACCAAAACAAAGATTTGCAAAGCCAGGGTGGAAATTTACACTTAAAGTACTACAACAAGATCATCATCGCTATCGGCAGTCTCCATGGTGACATCAGCTACTTCAAGATGAGCAGTTGCAGCAGATTCTTCAGTCAAGAGAGAGTCGGCAGTCGCAGCTGATACAGCGGTTGCAGCAGAGTCGACATCATTGTCGTCGTCTTCACTGGAGGTGGCGCCAGCAGCACCGTCATAAAGCAGCCACTTCACCAAGAACATTGGCCTCTTGGTCAAGCTGATCTTCGAACTCTTCCACAACATTGGCTGGCTGCAGCTTTTCGGGCGGCAATGAGAAAAGCTCTTCAAGACGTTCTCGGCCATCACGAGTGGGACGGCCTTCCTTGAAGCAGGACACCTGGTCAACAGTGGCGCCAGGAACCTGTCCGCAGCAGGTGAAGTAGTTCTTGATGAGGTGCGGTGACAGGGAACGCCATGACTTCACGATGATGTCACACAGCTCCGACTTCGTAGTGGCACGGATGTTGCATGCAGCAGTGTAAGTTTTGTCACCTGTTGCCAGCCATTGATCATACAAGTCCCGGATGCTGCTCTTGAAGGGCTTGTTCGAGCTGACATCCGGGGCTTGGACAAGCGCTTTGCATCCACCAGGGATCACAGCACTCCGGATGCATTTTTGGCGCCTCTCTGCAGTGACGGAGTCGGTAAGATGGCAGCGATAAGAATCCCACACTAGAAGCCTCTTTCCCAAGGCCATGGAATCCATCACTCTCTGACGCCAATCAATTGTCAACTCTTTGTTAACCCTTTAGAGCCTAAATTATTTCAGGAGACGCATGAAATTCACAAACTCACATTTTCATCTGACTGTAATTTCGATATCCTTTGGAGTATTCCAACAATATCGGGCTCTATGGAAAGCTCTCTCCAAGACGAACACAGCCATACCCAGTTCGCAATTGATAGAGTCGTAGGAGTAACGCCGCAGCGCGATCCGAGCGCTCCAATGCCAGACCTGCGAGCGCGGTACTAAATTCTCCGCCATTTCAACAATATCGATCGCAGAACGGTCAATTTTTTTGCAGGAGAGACCTTCAAAATGCAGCTTGAAAATGACGTATGCCAGTCGTGCACTAGCGAGTCAGGGAAAATCCCTTGCTGGCGTTTCAAATTTTACGCCGCGCGAGCCGACTTGCCCACGCGAATCCATCCATTGTCAGAGAATGCTACTACGATGTCCCGCCGGGCCTTCAGCTCCCTGTCCTCTGCCGTCTTGCCCTTGCCTTTGAAGAGGACAAAGGGCAGCCGCTTTGCACCAGACGCAGATGCCGTCAGTGCCACAGTGACATTTTGCTTGTCATGCCTTGTGAGGCCATGCTGATTGTCCTAGCGCCATTTTCGTTGACTGTCCGGTTGCTAGTCACATCAAACCAAACGGCAGTCTCATCCATGGCAAAGATGTTGGCAGGGTTTAGATCGTTGTTGTCGGCGAACAGCTTCCTGACAAACACAAGGAAGTTCGTCAAATTGGGGATCAGATCAGCAGGAGTTCATTCTTGTTATTAGTTGAAGATGCTCAATGAAATTCCTACACCTTCCAGCACTTACACTGAACGGTTCCTGTCCTCTTTGCTCGTCGTGAATCCGCTTAGCCATTGCCTGGACCGACTTCCGCGTCACTCGTCGACATTGCTAGCGCTCCGCGACGATCCATCCGTACAGCTCATCTTCAAGGTCACACAAAAGCAACGTTTTGCAACCGCCGACTAGGCGTGCTCGTGCACAACCACAACAGGTTGTGGATTGTTCTATTCCCTTTAGACTGG